GGCGTCCCAAACAAAATTTAATGATAAAACAAGTGTTATGTAACAAACTAACAAAGGGTCCATCCAAGAGTAACGTGACTTCACATGGCCCAACTCTTTTCTTGTCTATAGTCGCAAACTTCGTTGTACCTAAACTTTGGTTTGGTTTCCAAAACGCCGATCGATTCTATTATTATTGGTTTCAACTTCTTCTACATAAATTTTCGTTTGTTCGATTGGTTACTGGTTAGTATCGTTGAATATGAAAATAACAACAAAAAAATCAGCTGGAGACTTGGAGAGGAAATTGAGAGTTTAGTTATACACGTAGAATTAACAACTTATTTGGTGTTTTCATACATTTGCATGGGATCGAACAAATTAATATCTGAAATGAAATATTTCCTCGTAAACCAATTGAGTTGCATAATATCGAAGAAAACACCAAAAAAGCAAAAAGTTACATATCCTAACTCCTAAGGCACGGGTAGATATTTTACGAAAAACTTTTTTATCATAAAGATGAAAAGCCTAATAGTTAGGACGGATTAGAGATATTTTGAGAGTAGAGATATTTTGATATCTAATCTCATGATATGAGAGATGTAGTTGGATAGAGACAAGTCAAGATTCATGAATTCAAATTAGCTAAGATAATGAAAGCGGTGTGATTGTGATATATTTGATTATTAGTTAGTAACGTTTCCTCTAGAAAGTTTTCAACAAGACACTCGTGCACACGGTCCCATCTTTAGGATTATTCAACCACCATATCATTTTCAATTTTATTATATTTGGTGTTTAGATTATGTTACATCTTTCTTTGATCACACAAATTTGTGAGAATATAGTATATGCTAACCGATTATAATTATGCATGACGGTGTTTATCAATACCCAAAGTTGTGGAGGTGCTTGACAAAATATCTTTGTTTTGATTTTTCTAGCTTAATTAAACACCTATATTGCTTCAAAAGGAACAAAAATTAGCTATGAATATAAAGACATGAAATTAGCAAATTCGGTCTAGATGTAGAGCTAACTTTATAATGGTATATGTCGATATCAAAATTAAATTAGAGAGGCATAAAAAGAAACATATAGTGGGCATAAAAATGGAACAAAAGAACATTATCCCTTTCACGTGGGTTTTACACTATTACACAACCCTAAAATCCTATTTCACTTGACCTATCTCTTTCTCTCTCCCTCTATATATACTCATATCCAACTTCATTTTAGCTAAAGCTTTCTCTCTCTCTATCACAATCTCAAAACTCCCATCAATGGCTGTCTCCTACCACGTCCGATCTTGTAGCTTACCAGCTAGGTTACAACCACATGGCCTTAACCAGATTCAGCAACTCCTCAACAAGGTTCCTACAGATAAGAACAATAGTCTCTCACTTCTCTCAGAGCTCTATGACTCGGTCTCCAATCTCTTCAACGACTCACCTTCTTCATTATTACTCCCTCATCAGTCTTTCTTCACACATCTTCTTGATCTCTCCCTTGTACACCTTGACTTGTGTTCCAAGCTAAGAGACATCACTTGCCGTATCAAAGACTGTCTTCGTGACCTCCGTTCTGCTTTTAGGCGGAGGAGACACGGTGGAGATTCTACCATCCGTTGCCACGTTAAAGCCTTTATCCGCTCTAGAAAATCGGTTCATAAAGATCTCGCGAAGTTACTCTTGTTGCTCAAACAGGTAAATCATTCCTCGTCCGGGTCCTCTCATCCTTTGATCACACTGCTCCGACAAGTTTGTTCCCAAACATGTTATTCCTTTAGGACAGTCTTGTTGTCCTTATCCACAGTTGTACCAAAACCAAGGCCTTCTAGATGGACTTTGGTCACTAAATTGGTGATCAAGAACGTTACTAGTACTAGTGTTCAAGTTCAGACCGGACACAGAAACGAGTTCCAGATAATGGACGAAGAGCTACGAAGATTCTGCTCTGCTAAAGAGATAAAGAAGGAACGAATCAAGTGTGTGATCACAAACTTGGAGAAGGTAGATGTTGCGGTTGAAGACCTAGAGGAGTCGCTTGAAAGCTTATACAGGCGTATGATCCAAGCTAGAGTTTCTCTTTTGAACATACTCTCTTTGCATATATGATTAATTTGTAGATCTCCAATTCACTAGATTCCATGTGTGTATACAAACTTCACCCATATTTTAGAGGAAACATTTTAGTTACCTTTATATATTAATGACAGAAATATTCCAAGTAAATTGTATAAACACCAAAATAACTTAGCAGCAGCGACATTTCAACATATCAAAGCAAGTGTAGGGTCTTGATCTATCCTCGAGTTGAAAGGCAGTAGGGAGTGAATCTAGATTAGAGTTGTCGCAACAGACATTGTATACGTTCCTCCGAATTCCTCTGCTAAACGGATGCACTCGTTCTGGAATATTCCTGCAAACCTCAACAACTTTAGTATCACACGAACATACCGATCAGCTTCATGAAGTAACTTAAAGAAGCAAAGTTTCTCGATTTATTTTCTTTAAAGAACCTGATTGTATATTACTATTTGACAGAAGATAAGTTGGATACCTCAAGTACGGAATACGTCTTCGCCTCACAAGTTCGTAAGTGCTTTGATTCGTCAGAATTAGGTAGCTGCACAAAATCAGTTTTGAAATAGAAACGGAAGCAATTAGACAAACAGGGTACGAGATTGTGGAAATATCACAAATTTTGAATACACACCTGTGAAAAAGCAATAGAAGCATCACAAAAATCAAGGAGATCGCCAATATGACTAACAGTACGATGATAATTGCATTC